CAGTGTGTAGTCGAGTGTGCTGCTGAACGTGGGACAGCTGCTTGAAGCGGCGGTCGCAGTAGGAGCACTTGTAGGGTTTCTCCCCGGTGTGGACCCGGATGTGCTGCACCAGCTGATGGTTGGAGGAGAAGGACTTGAGGCACTGCTGGCACTGGTGCGGCTTCACCTCGCTGCGGTGCGCCTCCCGACTGTGCATCTGCATCGCAGACTTGTGCATGAAGATCTGCAAGGGACGGCCATAGGTTAAGATATGCACGGGGTGTTTGGACTGTGAAGCAGCTTAGGCTAGAATATGGAAGGAAAATGAAGCGCTTATGATTATGATCACTATCGTTATCAGCATTACTATTACTTTCATCAATTATCACTATCACTAATTATTATTATTATTATTATTATTATTATTATTAATAGTATTATTATCATCAGCATTATTATTATTACTATCATTATTAATATTATTATCATTGTCTCACTCGTCTCCAAATCGAACTTCCCATAACTTTTGCAAAGTTATAAAAAAGAGATTAATAAACATCGAATTCCTAAAACTCATTAGGAGGACCTATTACTTTACGGGAATAAAAAACTTCGAGTACATCAACGATCAGCCATAGCATACTCCCCCCAAAAAAGAAAAAAAAATCCTCAGCGGTCAGAACAAATTGCAATTTTGGAAACCTCTTTCCGGGGTTCCCATTAAACAGCATTCCACTCCACCAGCAACGTTCTCTCAACGCAACTCGTTATGTTATAAAGACGCTCTTGGGCGCCACTGTGAATACCACTCATGAATAAAACATTAGCCCTTACTAGTTAGTGATAAATTACAAGTGATGACAATGAAGTGTCGTGCGCAGATTAATGGCATGAGGAAAGGGGGCCTTAGTCTTAAGTTCTGTCCTCCGAGAAGTGACGAGAAAACACGCGAACTCACGAGACCTCCCAAACAAGTTACTCCGTAGCTCGGAAGGATTATTGATTATCTATAACGCAATACGGAGTATAGTCATCACTTAGATAAAAAATAAAATTTCTATGGCAACAAAGAGGTGATCAAATATTATTACAATCCTCGTTAATGAGGTTGTAACAAATGTAATAAGCAGCATCACATTACATCTACAACTACAACATGTAACCACAACATCGCTACAACTATAAAAAATAACAAAAAACTACGGCTATGAAAATGTGGACACCAATTTCCCACTACTTTTATGGATATCACCTTAAAATGAATTAATATTTGCTATTTATAATTTCACAATAATAAATCTAATATTTCTACCACAAAGAACAAACGAAATAATGGAATAAACCGACCGAGAGTAATGTATACATACATCACACATCTAATTACAGCTTGAACGCAAAAAATCTATATATACATTTCTTTTTTATCAAATAATACGGCAAATATTCAATAATAAATGGAAATATTTTCCAGATACAATAGGTTCTCTCATGGGAAACACCGCCTGTCGTTATTCTAATGCAGTTGAGTAATCATATGTAATTATAAAAAAAATAAATATATATAAATGAATTAATAAAAATTACACGTGTGAAAAAAGAAGCAAATAACAATATCCAAACACAATGTTTTAGAGTCACTCATCCAAAAATAATAATAAAAGTGATGTGATTAAAATCCTCATTAAAAATCCCCATATTTTGGCACACTTGCTCTTGGTCACAATTTTTCATGTGTAATGGGATGCGACTTGCCCAGATCTCGCCGCTTGTACCACAGTCCTTGGTCGTGTTTCATTCGGCTTCGTCTCCCTGTCGCCACGCCCGTCCCTCTTCCGTCTCGGAGGCCGCCCCTACGCCCACACCGACGCCCGCCTGGTAGGAGGGCGTGGGGCTCCTCCCGACACGACGGACAGCAGGAGGCGGTGGAGGCGGAGGGCGCGAGCGAGGCGAAGGGCGAATCCCAGCGACCGAGCGATAGTCGGCAACGGTTTGATATAATACGCCAACAAATGAGACACATTAATGAAGAAACGTTGGCGCTGTCTTTTAATCGTTTCTGTTGAACATTTAATGACGTGGCATTTTTCAGCAGCGCGGGGAAAGAGGAATATTCCCATAACGTCCAAAGGTAAAGCTCAGAATGATATTACAGCGTCGTTTAACGTACACAGAATATTAATTATCTGAGCCATTACTGTTTACGGATTCATGTATGGAGCAGTTGCGGCGGAAGATGGGGGGGGAGGGGGTGTAGAGGAAATAAGATAACTAAAACAATAACAGAATGATAAAAAAATGTTCGAATTTCAGTATAACTTCAATTTAAAAAAGTACCCGGATGTCGGAAGATAAGATACGTAGATTTTTTTTTTCTTTTTGTCTGCGTGTGTATCATATCTAGTCATAGGTTTCATGACACTCTAAACGAAAGAAATGATGACAAATAATACTAATAACACTAAGGAAAAAGTAACTAAACTCCTGGACAAAAGCCGTGGGGCCCATATAACGTGTGATCTGTATCCAGAAAGGGAAAACGAAGAGAAGAAAGAAAGAAAGAAAAAAAATCAAAACAAAAACAAATCAAAACACTAATGAAACAATTAGAAAACCATGAAAAGAAAATAATTTACGTATTTATCTACATCATCTTCCTCATAAATCGTCGGCGAGTGAAGCACTTTTTTTTTCTCTCTCTCTCCTCGCTGATGTAGCTCGCCCCTGCTCACGCCTCCGCTATCTACAGTTCTTCTAAATTAGGATTTTTAAACTTCCTCCCCCCCGCACACTTCTTGAAATTGTTAGATAACTCTCTATCTTTCTCTCTCTTTTTTTTTCTCTCGCTATCTTTTTTTTTTTTCTCTCAATCTTTTTTATTTCCCTCTATCTATCTGTCTCTCTTGGTATTTGTCTTTCTCTCTCTCTTTCTATTCCTTTCTCTCTCTCTCTTCTACAAAAAAAAAAAAAATCATCCATTACTACTTTTTTAGATCGCTTTTCAAGACGCGGATTGACCACAATTGCAAGGCCCGCTGCGTGTTGCATTCTCATTATTGATTAACTGGGAGGAAGAACCGGCGATTGGCGTTCGTAGAAACACTCACTCGGCATCTTGGATTATCTGCGGTAATCAACGAGCTAAGGTCCCCCCCCCACCCCACCCCCCTTCTTCTCCCACTACTCGTATCTTCTCCCTTCCCCCTACCTTATACCCCGGCCTACCCCTCCCTCCCTCCCTCCCCCCTCCTCTTCCCCCCCAACTATTTTCCCTACTTCACTATTCTTACGCTCATCCTCCCCCCCCCTTACCGCACAGTCCGTATCCCTCCCCACCATCTCCTTCCTCCCCTACCCCCTCCCTTCTCCTGACCTCATACCCTCCCCTACCCCCGATATCCCCACCTTCCCCACCATTTCCCCTCCCCCCCCCATCGAATCAATACTCCAACTGCTGGACTAAAACATTGGACAGTCTTTGACGCCCCTTTCCCCTCACCCCTCTATTCCCCTCACCCCCCCTCCTCCTTTTTCCCCTCCCCCCTCCTCCTTTTCCCCTCCCCCTATCTCCCTTTTCCCATCTCTCCTCAAACCTCTTTTCTTCCTTTTCCTCTTTTCCTCCTTCGTCGTTGACTCATTTGCTTTTCTAAACTTGGAAGAAGAGGAGAGAGAGATAAAGTGAAAGAAGAAGAAGAAAGATGCTTTATATATATATTAGGGAGAAGGAGCTATATATACTTAGAAGGATAGGAAAGACGGAAAAATAAAGAAAGACTAAAGAGAGAAAATTGATAATGAGTAAGAGGAACGCTAAAGAGGAAATAAGATAAAATTAAACAAAATTGACAAAAATAAGAAGTACAAGAGAAAGAAGAAAATAAACAAGAAAAAAAAGAAAAAGATAAAAAAACAAGAAGAGGAGGAGAAAAAAGAGATGATGAAGAGATAGAAGAAAAACAAACAAAAGAAAAAAAAACAAGAAAAAAAGATAAAAAAAAACAAGAAGATGATGAAGAAAAAGAAGAAAAACAAGAAAAAAAGAGAAAAAACAAGGAAAAAAAAAGAGAAAAACAAGAAGAAGAGAGGCAAAAATAAATCTCTCACTCAGACTAAACATGAGAATAGTTCCACTGGTATTGAAGACCCCCAGGACAACGAAAACCTGTTTCCAAGTCAGATGTGAATTATTCCAACATTCCAGCAAAGCTCCTGAAAAAGTTACTTCCTAATCAAAATTGCATAGCACCCTTCCTGCCTCCGCCCCTCCCTCCTTCCTCCCTCCCTCCCTCCCTCCCTTCCTTTCCCCTCCCTTCTCTCTCTCTCTCTCTCTCTCTCTCTCTCTCTCTCTCTCTCTCTCTCTCTCTCTCTCTCATCTCTCTCTCTCTCTCTCTCTCTCTCTCTCTCTCTCTCTCTCTCTCTCCTCTCTCTCTCTCTCTCTCCCTCCCTCCTCTCTCTCTCTCTCTCTCTCTCTCTCTCTCTCTCTTTGTCTCTCTCCTATTCCTCTCCCTCACTCTTCGTCCTGTTCCTTCACTTTTTTTCCTTCTCGTAGTCCCCCTGATCCTGTATCCCATTCCTGCCTCCCCCCCCCCTGCCCCATTTAACTCCTCCTCCTCTCCCCCCTCCGTCATCTCTCTCTCACACTCTCCCTTCGTCTCCAATTCTTTCATTCTCTCCCTCTCTCTCCTTATCCTATTCCTTTCCCCCTTCCTTCTTCTTCTTCCTCTCCCCTTCTCTCTTCGCCTCTCCCAGCCACCAACGCACCCCATACTCCCCCTCTACCTCTCCCTCCCCCTCCCTCCCTCTTTCGCTTTCTCCCTGTCCCTCCCCCTCTCCTTCTCCCTGTCCCTCCCCCTCTCCTTCTCCCTGTCCCTCCCCTCTCCTTCTCCCTCCCCCTCCCCCTCTCCTTCTCCCTGTCCCTTCCCCTCTCCTTCTCCCTCCCCCTCCCCTCTCCTTCTCCCTGTCCCTCCCCTCTCCCCTCTCCTTCTCCCTGTCCCTCCCCCTCTCCTTCTCCCTCCCCCTCCCCCTCTCCTTCTCCCTGTCTCTCCCCCTCCCCCTCTCCCCCTCCCCCCCCGGCCCCGCCATGGTCTGCCTACACATGCGGGTTGGCTCCTCGGTGGTTGAATTTCCTCGTGGGAAAATAGCAAAGTAAAAAAAGAAAAGAAAAGAAAAGGAAAGAAAGAAAAAAATCTACAAAAGAGTAAGTTGACTGAAGCTAACGGCGTCCGATGTTTACCCTTAGGGAGAGAA